TTGTAGGTTGGCCTGGGCTTCTTGTATTTTTTTTTTTTTTTTTTTTCAAATCAAGACGGGATATAAATGTGTAGGTGTGCTAACCCATGTGGGAAAAACAAAAAAAAAGCGCCGTGTTTGCCTCGTCGTTCCGCACCTGGGTCCTGTTCAACTACTCCAAGCACGACATCAGCTACACGCTCGCGCCGCTGCTGGCCTGGTCCGACATTGAAATGTCCGCCGGCATCATCTCCGCCTGCCTGCCCACCATGCGGCCGCTCGTCCGCCTCGCCACGGCCGGGCTCGGGCTCGCCAGGGTCTCTAAGCTGTTCCGCTTCACGCGCTCCTGGGCAGACGGGTCGCGCGAGGAGTCCAGTGCCGGCGGCGGCGGCAAGACGTCCAAGGGGGGCGAGAGCCGCGGCGAGGTTGTGCTGCCCAGCTTCGTCACGCCGCAGTCTCTCCGGGTCACGGCCGAGTCGACCAGGCGGAGGGACAGGAGCAGCGCCTTTTACAGGCTGCCCGACGACACTTGGTCTGGCCGGTTCAATGGCATCCTGGTGGAAACGAGCCTCGAATGGGGGCTGGAGTCGGAGGGGAAGGCCGGCGCCGGCGCAGGTGCAGAGGTCACCGAGGTGCAGGAGCCGACAAGGAATCTGACGGCCTACGATAGCAGTAGTAGCATCGAGATGATGGAGGGGCTGAGTGCCGCCACGAGCAAGAGTGAGATACCGATGCCCAGGTGCAAGTAGATGTGCGATTTGCTGCTACATGACGTTGTTTGATTTGGCACAAGTCTCACACCGCCCAAAGATGTGTAACATGCTATACGTTGATTCATGAAAATACATGATTATTCAATGAGCTACAGCAGTCAACCGTCCCCTGCGCCCCATGCACGCCGTATCTTGCGTAACCCAGTCTGATCCCAAGCTGGGCAAAATCACAAACCACCAGGTCGCGCCACCGGTTCCATCTCCACGTATTACAAGGTCCTTTACCAAGCCTAGACTGAAGTATATCATCTGACTCTGACGTGCTCATCCAGACAGCTGTATTGCGCCTTCATTCTCCTACAATAACTTTCGAATAGGGTGATTCTGCCACATCAGCAGAGGAGCCCCTGTATCCGTACTGCCTCAACGACACAGGGAACATTCCTCTCACAATCATAAGAAGACGCATTCCCACCATCGCTGTTTTACGTGCGACCATCTGCTCATTGTCAATCTCATTCATCATATGTGTGCTCATACTTATCCCCCTCAACGAACCAATGTACACATACCGGGCATCCGCAGCCGCCGACCTTCATCAGGCCATCCCCAGTTGCCAAATTTTTTTATCCCAGCCCAAGCTCCATTCAAGAGGCCACGTCCCCAGGGCCGCTCGCCAACAGAAGGAAGTAAGAAGATTAAAAGAAGAAGCCATGTCCTTAATAATAAATATACCGTTTAAAGAGCCCAGAGTCCTTTTGACTGCTTTGCCAATGTTCCCCCCATCCCCCAACTATCCGGGTATCGTAGCCAGAGCTTGGTCCAAAACAACAGAAGAGAATAGAGATCCGAAAGAGACAGACTGAGAAAAAAAATCATTTAATAATCTTCCCACCCGCCATCCTCGCCATCTACTTCTATCGTCGTGCCCAGTGCTTCCTTGCCCTGGCGAATCATGTCCTGTAACTGTTTATTGAACGCTGCAATGCGGACGTCTGTGTCGCGTTCTTCGCGTTGTCGTCGAGCAGCGAGGTGCTTGGCTTCTGCGTCGAGGCGTGGACTGTTGTCTAGGTCGTCTACGGCTCCGCGACTGGATGCCGTGGACGCACTGCTGTGTGTGCGGCTGTGTGTAAATGACGCATGGTTGGGTGCTGAAATGGCTGATCGTCGCCGTCCATGGCCTCGAGATGAATGTGGCGAGGGTGAGGCCGCGATACTGGGGGCTATGCTGGCCAGTTTCGTCGGCGACTGGGAGCGAGTTGAGGCGTAAGATGCGGATGACGCAGGGCGAGCAGGCTCGAGGGTGGCCGGGGGGGAGATGTTGAAGCCATTCAGGGGGGTGCCTCGATGCGGTGCTGGACTGGCCACCTTGCTGGAAACGCGGCGATTATGTGGTGTGCTTATCCGACGACCAGTAGCAAGCGAAGGGCCTTGATTGCGATTTCTTGGAGACTGCCTATGGGCAGCAGAGGTCCGCCGAGGAGTGCTGTCCGTTCCACTGGCACGGTCCTTGATCATGACCCAATTTCTGCCCAACTCATCCGTCGGTGCTGTCTGTCGTCTTTTGGCAGCCGGTGCAGATGGAGTTGAGGCGCCGCTAGGTATGGGCGTATCCTCGGCGGCTTCTCGATCGTAAAAAGCATCTGCTTGCGGGAAATGGCCTGGTATTCGATGGTGTTGCTCGTCGTCCTCATCATTTTGCGGCCAGGCTGGATCCGGTATTGATCCATCTGGAAAGATGCCATCGCCGGGCCGCATCTCAAAACCTCTTCCCCCACCGGCATGAAATCCTTTAAACGCGCCCGCTTTGCAAAACTCCCATACCTTCCCCACGACGCCACCTATTGTACTAAAGGCCAGCGTACCCCATCCCGGAGATTGGTAGGGCTGCGTAGGGAGGTTGAATAGAGGGGTATGCCCCGTGGGGTCCATCAAATCATCATCATGTCGCGACCGCTTGGAGCCAAGGGCTTTCCTGTAGTCCGACTCGGAGTAGGTGCTCTCGCCCAGCATTCCGCTCTCCCCCGGTCCGCTGGCAGGTGTGTCGAGCTGCCCGGCAAGTGTGTACGCCCTGCCGTTGTGGGCAGCATGTCTCCCCGCGGGTGTTATCAGAACAGTGCTGGCGATGGTGGTGATATCGTCGTGGATGCCCTCTTGTTGTTGGGCATGATCAAATTGTCTAGCATCGTCGCGTATGCGCTTGCGCTTGGGAGTAGGTCCCTCTCCGCAAGGTCGACTCTGTGTTAAATATCCGGAGCTCGATGCTGGAGACACCGGGGGCCGGAAGAGGCCCTGGTGAATTCCGTCGGCGTGAAAGCCCCCGGGCATGTGGAAGCCGGAGGAGAAGGTCATAACTTCTATAAGGCTGAGAGAAGCTGGGCGAGAATGCTCAGTCGCTTGGGGGTGGGGTGTCGAATTTGAGAATGGCCAGCAGCTGCGCCGTGACCCAAGCTGCCAGTCGAGGTCGAGTCTGAGACAAAGCTTGCTTCAGTGTATTAGCATGCAACAACACGCATTATGACGATTCTCATCGGCCTGAACGGCAGATTTCCTTTGCTGCCAAGGGCTATCCCAAAGTCTTCAACCGTGCAGGGGTCAAAGGCGGCAATGGAATATGTTGGGATGCTGGAGCACTCTAGCTGTGAAGGCGTCGCCTCGATGACCTCTGTTTGCTGCACGCGGGGCAAACAAGCTTGTCGGTACACGTCGGTCGTGTGTCGTGTTGTCGTGTGTCGTCCAACAAATCACAGCCGGTCGCACCAGTCGGTTTCGTAGCCTGCCGAGATGGAGATTCGTCCTTGGTCCAGGTGGCGGTGGTGCGTATGCAAGCGTCGTGGTGCTCGTGACCTCGGAGCAAATCAGGCACGGGATTGGAAATGGTCTGTATCGCCAAATGGCTGCCTCGTTCCAGCAAGGCAGGCGACGACGGACGGTGGGCGATAAAAATGCCCAGCGAACGAAGGCCCTAAATAAAAAGGATAAATTGGTAAAAACTGCAACTCGTAGAGCGGTGTCCCTGCAGCGCAGGCAAAGACATTGGCCTTTTTTCTAAGCGGTGAAGGACCCCAAGTCAAACACCAATGTATGAACGGCCGCGGGAGCAGGCCGACAGACGGCAGAGATGGGGGTTGGTGCCAAGATGGGGGTTTGGGTCATTGGCCTGGCCGCGTTTGCGTATGAAGTAGTGAATAGTTGCAAAGACGGTGTAATAATAGGGGATGTTAAATCTCGGTGATTCAAAGCTGACTGAAGTGTTTAGACGCGGCTGTGAACAATTGACTGGGAAACCCGGCCGGCTGACCTTTCAATGTTGGCGGGGCACAAAAGCTACATTGTACCCAGGTACCTTATTGATGGGTGCAGACTCCACCGACGGAGAACGAGAGCTGAAGACAAGGATACTCCATGCTAGGTCGCTAGTCTCGTCGTCGTTGCCTGGGGTGATGATCTCATCCGCCAACATGTGCTCTGTCCATATAATTTCCTGTAATTTTCCAGCCCAGAAACTGTCATCTCCGGCCATCAGTTCAAGAACTGCAGTCTTTCTGTTCACGTAGAGCTCAAAGTTTCCCAGGTGTCATGTGTCGTTGGACCGAGGGCAAGACACAGCAGCCACTAGGTAGTAGTCACCCTCTTGTCTCAACATAGGCTGCAGCTAAAGAATTCGGCTTCTATTCTGAGGGCAGTTCTAAGCCACTAAACGAAAAATGAAAGTCTGCCCGCATCTTTGCCCTACCGGCCGAATACATGCTTGCGCAACTTATCTGTCTCCGCTCAAAGAAGAGCATCCCATCATCGTCCCACAAGGGACAAAGCATAAAATAAACGCAATCAAAGTGCGCCAGCTCAGTCATGCCATTAATAATCCGTTCATCCATTAATCCCTCGAGTAGTACTCGTCCTGCATCTTGGTCTTCTCCTCAGCAACTCCCCCCTCCACACCCTTGACCCCGTCAACATGCTGCTTGGTGCCCCAAAACTTCTCCCTCTCTTGTAGCAGCTCCTCGGCCCATGCTTTGGTCTCCTCTAGCATCATCTTGCTCGATACGTATGCAAACTCGCCCAGGTCGAGGGTACCCTCGGCGCGCTTCTCGTATTCCATCATTTGCAGCAGCAGCTCCATCTTGTCAATGTCGTGCACATATTGGCTCTCCAGCGTCTTGGAGTCCTCGTACTCGTCCCAAATGGCCCGGATATCTTGGCCGACCGCAGCATCGTCCTTGTTGCCAAGCAAATCTTTGGTGAGGTAGTTCATTGTCAGACTCTCGCGCCGGCTCTTTTCGGGCTTGGGGACGCCGTCTACCGGGGTGATGTCGCCGACGAGGAGTTCAGCCATATCGTGAATGAGGCACATCTTCATGCATCTGTGGAGGTCGATGCGTTTGGCAAGTGAAGGAGGAGCAAACATGGAGATGATGGACATGCGGTACATGTGGTCCGCGATGGACTCGCCTCTGCGCCATGTTAGCACTCGCCGGCGCTAAATAGGAGTCCAGGGAACGTTGCTCCGCGGTCAAGATGGGACACCGTCGTACCTCTCGATGCCAAATCGTCTCCAGCCTTCGCGCTTCGTCGTCTTGAGTCGTTCAATCATGTGTAAAAAGGCAAGGGGAGACTGGCCTCCCGATTTGGGAGCATCACCGGGAATTGCATCAACCACCTTTTCCACCTCCCATTCTCCAGAGACCTTGACCATTGGCGTAAAGCCCAGGTCTAGCCTTGTCAGCTGCCTGGTTTCTCCTTAGTATCTGCTGCAAAACCTACTAGAAATGTCGGGCTTGCCGCTATTCTTCTGATCCGCTTGCGATCCCATCTTTGCGAGTGGTTGCTGTGATGTGTCTCGTTTTGTTTTGCTCGAACTGAATCGCGGGGCTTATCTAGGTGTGAAGAGGGGTGGCGGGGTCCAATACCAATGGTTTGCTGAGAGGATGAAGCAAGCTGGATGTCACGACACGACAAAAGAATTGACGGGAAACAGCAGCGAAGGATATACAGAAAAACAAGTTTCATCTCTGTGCCAAACAATAACACCCCAATGTTTGCTTGGTCACCGGGAAGCGCCACACTTCGGCAGTCCGTCCAGCATCCTTGCTGAGTCTGGCAAAATGAGTTGACCAATGCCGGTCAAACCAATGTCAGGTCGGTGTGATAAGTGGTCAGGCGGACAGCCAGTCATTATTTGCCCCACCTCCCCGAACCCAGGCAGGCGGTGGGTGGGTGGTCTACGGTCGCACATTAGCTAAGGTCCGCAGTTGCTGCCACAACCCCACATCTAGCATTTTAAGCGATTTCAGCGGTTTAAGCGGTTTAAGCGATTTTTAGCATTTTAAGTAAATTACCTGTGTACGAGTAATACTATTACTATAAAGAGACTTAAAATACGTATAAGAGAAGATTTACGCTCTTTTAAATAAAGAACTTACTTATTAATAGATTATTAATTACCTTAATAATTAATTTTTTATATAAGAGTAATAAACTATTAATATTTATCTCTTT